TAAACAAAGTGTTTTTTAAGAAGTCTTAAAAATGATTTAAATTTATTACTTTCGTTGGAATTAAATCATAAAATCGTAGATTATATATTTGCGCACGAGGGATAAAACTCCTAGCATGGGCCTTCGGCATTGTTGACGCCATATCGAGTGTATGCAACTTTTAAGTTGACGTTGGAACAGCAATGTTTGAGAATTAGTGCAGACGTTGTCGATTTGACATAGTAAACTAGTATAGCAAAACAAACAAACACAAACTTGAATATTTTTATTCAAAATATTAAAGCTACAGCAGAATTTTGGAAAGAGATCTGAAGTTTTACTTTGAGGTAATCGATTTATAATTATAATACACATAAAATCTATAAAAAAATTTAAATTGTAAATACAGACTACAGTACTAAGTGATATTGATAGTAACTAAGTTGAGTAATTTCTAAAGCCAGTTGCCATGTAAAGTGTAAGGCTTTATAATTATTATAATAAGGATAGTTTTGAATCTGATTTGGGATTATATTATAATCTTAGGCCTAAGTGTGTAACTGTAGTCGTTATTTTTCGTTATAATATAATATTGATGATCGATGTTAGTTCTGTGATTTGTAAACATATTCTTTTAAAGTTTAAATTTAATGTAACAGAATAAACTATGGGCTAACTGCACAATATATTTATTAACTGCAAGCTTTCAGCTCATTTAATTTTAATGATTTACAAGCTCGTCGTGAGCCTAGTCTGACTAACTCGTTTATCTTCTAAGTAGTTTTAGATTAAATCAAAAAATAAATGGTATTGACGGTAATGTGATTTTAATTTAAGGGTAAAATGTTATCGTATTTTAAAATACAATACTTATATCAATAGACTGAAAGCTTAGAGCTAGAGATGTTAATTTCTAGAAAAATGGGGAATTTTTTCTTTTCAGATTTTGTTTTTATAGTGAATATTTAACAGATCAGCATTAGAACTTCCATATAATAGGATTTCTGTTATTGTTTTCTAATGTGTTTTGTTAAATTCACTTTTTCATGTTTCTGAATAATTGTAATATAATTAAGTGTTTAAACCACTAACATTTGCTATCCACAAGCTTGTATCACTCGGAAAAAAGAGTTTACAACCCTAGTTCTATTGGAAAGTATACAGTATGCTTTCCTCCATCAGGAGTAACTGACAAATGACCATTGTAAACTTGTTGATCAGTTATGTGGTCATTGGAAATAAAATGTATATTTCTAAGAATATGACTTAAAATAGTATTGCATGTGTCTATGTGATGGTAAATAAAGGGAAACAGTAGTTTTGAAATAAGAATGGTTACAAGGATATAAGATTGTGTAAGCAACACTACTCACTGTTATTGCTATTTGAATGTAATGATTTTTTTTATATAAGGCTTGGGCTAGTGAATAGGAAAACAGAAAATATGTTAACCATTGTGTGCAGATTCTATAATGTTGACTTACATTTAGTTAAAAGTTTTCATACTTTTATTTAATGGAAGTTTGTAACATAACATTGTGATATAAACTTAATTTCTCATTATGAGAAATTACAAGTTGAAAATCTCTGTAGGTACTAATGTATGTGAGACAAAACTTTTGGAACAGGTTGTGCTAGCCATACAAAGAAATATTGTGTTAAATAATAATTTAATTTCATTAACCACACTTTTAAGAATATTTCTGAAGACTTTATCTTGTGCCTATTTTTTAAACGTGTGAAATGTATGTTGAATTTCTCAGTCTTACAGAGTTTAATATATAGGAATGTTTGTGATATTTCTTAATTATTTATCAGGAATGAGAAATCACTAATCTTTTTTTTTGCCAATTAATCATTCTGTACATGTAATACACAGAGATGTTTGTTTTTTCTGTACATACCTGGTTATTTCTTAATATATTAAATTTGTTTTGTTTTGCCACACTAATACTCTTTCTAATGTTTTTTAATTTACCGATTAACATCTACAGTTCTGTGTTATTTTTTTACTGAAGTACTGTATTCATCCTGTATTACTACTTGCCAACACACATTACCTCTTCTGGAAAGTTTGAATATGAAACCTAAAGCTAATTTTGTAGCTAGGTAGTCATATAGTTTACATCTATCTCAGGTGTTGTCTGTTTGTAACTTTAAATTTGCAGTAGTAATGCTAGCTTTTATATTGTTACATATCTGCTTGTTTGTTTGTTTCCGGTAGAAATTCTTTCCGAGGATCTTCAGCAATACAAGTCCTTTCT